TAGATAGATAGATAGATAGATAGATAGATAGATAGATAGATAGATAGATAGATAGGGAGAAGCAGAGACAGAGGCAGAGACAGAGAGAGAGAAAATGTGCGTGGGTCTGTGATTGAATAAAAGTGCCAACCACATTTTTTGATAAGGAAGTATGCATTCCCTGGAAAATACTGCCCAGGGCCAGAAAGAAGAGATGATTTTGATGCAACTAAATAATGCAATAGCTGGACAAAAAGTGGGACAGGTCGAAAAAGTACACCGCCTCTATCTTGGGAATTCTCATCTTTTTTTTTCAATCATGAGGTAATCCAGAGGTGGGGGGGGGGGTACTTTTAGAATCGGGGGCCACTTCAACGGGGCTATGAACGGCAAAATGCCTCATCCTTTAAAGCTTGGCATAATGAGCTATTATTTATTATCATTACTTTTCTATCATTGAGGAAGTGCAAAATGTAAAGTGGCACAACTGTAATAAAAAATAATGATTAGACCATTAAGGCACCACAAAGGCTAGTGTTCGCTTTAGCATATTGAATAGCATCATTTAAAGTTGTTGTTTGGTTTTTTCTTTTAAAATATATTTATTTATACTGAACAATTTTCGCTCTTACCCTTCACCTCACTTTCACGATGCAAGCACCTTTCTACTGTAAGCTCCCTTAATCCTGACACTTTCAACTGCTACTCCAGGCTCCTTCTTACAGCCGGTCTTTCACCCACACCCCTTATTTTAGTGTATGTATGATAGACCACCTATCTTTCTCGGAAGAGGGTTAAAAATCTCAGATGTTTCAAATTGTCCAAGTGGTGTCCTAAAATGGATGAACAGGCTTTAGCCGCCACCTCAAGAGAATTCAAAATCATTTCTTCCAAAAGCTGAAAATACTCTAATCAGTTTATAACAAACATGAACATACACAGAGTACCTTCGGAAGCAAAGTGCGACTGCCTTAAAGGGGAAGGTAAGGGGTTTTACGAAGTAGGAAAAAGGGTGACATACGTAAAAATCAGTTGTACTGCCTGGTTAAATAACCAGAAGTCTTCAGGGGAACTAAAAAAAAAAAGACTCTTATGTTAGATTCGAACCTACCGTTGGCAACACCGTAGCACAGCTACAATGGCCACTGCGCTTAGGAAACATGCACTGTTGAATGCATCAACTCACTTGTTATGTTTCACTTCACATTGCACTAAGCTCACCATGCGCTCCGATAAAAAGATAATATTTCCCGAGTGTCAGAACATACATAGTGAAAGTTACAAAATGCTGACATCTGCCCGTCTTTGAAGCAGAAGAATCGAAAAGTAAAAAAAAAGGAACAGCAATAAACAGCGGTGTTATGACACGGTGTGAAAATGTTGCCTTAATTTCGCGCGGAATTAAAATCAACTCAGGGTAGAAATATTTTGCCCCCCTCAGTATGCACTCACGTACCTTTGATATTTCAGAGGCGGTAAGTCAAACAAACTGAGTCAATCTTCACGTGTTGCTCATTCAGTGTTTGATAACTCCTTAAGTGCATTGTAAGCATCTATTTGTAGCTTTCTAGTGTTAAGAAAAACACACCGATACAAAACCGGCTGTTTTCTTCTGGGAAAAAGCAAAAATTTTGCTTTTTCCCAGAAGAAAACGATACTTATTTTTGTACTTTCTATCTGACTATTTAATAGTCAGATAGAAAGTACAAAAATAAGTATCGTAAAATTTAAAAAGTAAGATCAGAAATGGAATGCCTTCATGCACCCACAATTAATTGTTAAGTCAAGATATCAGTTTCCTTTTAAACAATTCAGTTGTTTATGGGTCCAACGGAGTTCCCAATTTCCATTCAGCCTATGAGAGTCTTGATTTGTTCGACGCCTGGCAAGTAATTAGCCAAGCCGACAGGACTTCAAACTCTTTCAAAGACATGCCTTAGTTCAGGATTCTCATTTCGAATACTCTGCCATCCTCTGTGAAATGAAGCTTCGAGTTTTTATCTTTAGTTTATGCCTATTATATTACTTCAGGAACGTTCCAAATAACAGAAATATTTCCTGAAGGAAAAGACATTGACTACATCGATAGTATTAAGAAACTATGCTTGGAATGTGTTTATCAACGCTCACAAATAATGTTCTGCAACTTCCATGCAATGAAGGAAATCAAATTCAGTGCAAAGGGACTTCTAGTATTCTTCTTCAACTCGTTTCTGGTTTATATTACAAACACAAAAACCTCCTGCGCGAAAAAACCCTAGGCTCCCGGTAATTTAGCCATTCCTCAAAGGAAACGAAGACTCTAAGACTCTGAAGGCAGGGCAAGCACGCCATCAGTCAACTGACTTTACTTTGAAGTAGGTTTGCTTTATCCTTCCTCTGGTGCCGGTGGGTGTCAGTGGGAGGAACAATTGTCTGTCAGCCGCGAGTAGAGTGGCTTGGAGGAGGGTCAGGTCGTGGGTTCTGAGGGCGTCCTTGAGAGAGTCGACCCAGTGAGTAAACAGTGAGTAGAAAGCGTTGCGATGCCTCATGGAATATCGGGTATCTGTGAGATCTTGTGTGGGTACTATGGTTGATACACTGATTGAATACGGACTGGTAAAAAATAGTCTGTGACTTTGAACTTTATAGGCCTGATAAAGAGTGTTAACAGCCACCTCTCCTAACCGCTATAACAAAAATAATTAATAAAATGGCATGGTTAGGGAGGGCGGTAACAAGCTTGGCGTGCAATGATATCTTTCAAAGAATAGTATTATGCTCTCCGGCATTTTTATTGAGATAACAGACGAGAAAAGTAATGAAAAAAATAATCACATAATTATTATCATTCCTTATAGAAAGGAACAACAGAGGGATGAAAAAGAAGTATGACGTCCACGAGGCGGCTCAAGACATCCAGGAATGGCGACATTTTGCTACGGGAATCGACACACAATGTGAATCTTACCTGTTTGAACCTCAACAAGTGTTTAGTGCGTTGGAACTCTCTGTTTTCTTAAGTCACAGTCGACATCAGGTGTGACCTGAAAGACGCGGGAAAGAAAAACAGTCAGGCATAATGTCTTTGTAAACTGTCATGTAACGAGATATCTACAGACGTGGGCAATGTTTTTGCATCATTCGTGCATCGTTTTACAGTAACGCACTCGAATTGGAAACATATCGCTTTCAAACATACGTTCATTTTATGCTGGATAGAGTAAAACGGGGTCCGAGTGTGTGTGTGAGTGTGAGTGTGAGTGTGTGTTTGTGTATGTGTGTGTAAGTATGTGTAAGTGTGTGTGTGTGTGAGTGTGAGCGAGTGTGTGTGTGTGTGTGTGTGTG